TCTGCTCCATTTTCAGACCTATTTAAACACTGCTGCATATGACTATTCCAGTGGGGACTTGGCCAGCTATGTGTGATGGAAAGCACATATTTTGTGGTTGTGTAAATTGTACCCATATTTGAAAATTTAGCTGGAAATGTTCCCAAAGGATCCAGCTCCCAAATCCTGCAGTGGTATTTTGATCCCACTGTCTCACTAAGAATTAAGGTCCTGAGCTGCCACTGAATGGATGTGCAATATGTGGGATTAAATAGACGCCAAACGCATGGGAAGTATCTCAGCCGCTGTTTGGGAATGAACCAGGAAGCTATGACTTGTATTGAAAAGCCTGCAACGACAGCCGTGGATGTATTATATCTGAAGGGGGGACAGATCTGGAAGATAGGCATGGAGAAATTCTTTCCATAGATCCCTGATCTTCAGAGATCTCTGCTCCCCATCCTACACGCGACTCATCCCCTCACTAGTTGGGCCTGGCTCTAACTGCTCAAGTTCTTTAAAAAAAAAAAGAAAGAGAGAAAAAAGGAAAAGCTGGCTATGATCACTTACCCCCATCTAGCTCCCTGCACTGTCAGGATTCATATAGCTTTGTAACTCCCTAGACAATACAAGCCATTCTCCATCAAGCAGCAAATTGTATTGTGTCAAGCACAGGTGAAGCACAGAATAAAGGCTGCTCTCTCTAACAAGGCAGCTGGAGGCTGGTAAGAGGGCACACTTGAAAAACAAGAGAGAGAAAAAGACAGCGAGAGAGGGGCGGGAGGAAGGTTTTGTTATTCAGTCACCACCGTTCGAGTTCATCTGTACTGAGGCTGGCATTCGCTGCTCAGACGGTGTGTCTGGTTTTGGCAGGCAGCTGATGGTCATAGGAACTGAGCGACTGGCATGGCCCAAGCCATGACAATGAGCTGTGATGGAGACTGGGGGACGGGGCAAATCTCTCAGGCATGAGTAGGAGGTAGATAGGTCTTCCCTGGGCCTCCAAACTGCTGTGTGGATGTAAGCTCTCAGGCTACTAGGTTACCACTAGGGCGAATCTAAGGGCCATTTCAGGGCTGTCCTCAGTGCTTCTTACCCAGGTTCAATTAGGGACGCCCCAAACAATCTAGTCTGTTTCTTCAGATTGGGATGCAGCTGGCCCCTTTTTAAGAACCCCAAGGAACTTACGGGAAACAGGCTGAATGGAGTGTATAAAACAGTGTACGCAACAGAGTTTCCCTTGTGGCTAAGAATAGCCACCCTTGTCACCTGTGGGTACCTTTTTCTGTGCATCAAAATGCTTTACATTCACTAATGAATCACGACGGCGTAATATATCTGTAGTATCGCCCCTGCTTTACAGGTGAGGAAATTGGAGCATATCGAGAGATCCCAAAGCAAAGGAGGAGCCAGGAGTAAACTCAGAATGTTGGATTCCCAGATAAATGCAATATAAATGCAGAGAACATGTTGTCTGAGTACAGACGTACCTACAATATCCACACAGCACATATAGTTCCAGCTCACGTAAGACATATATGTGTGGTGTGCAGGTATTACATAGAACACAAGCAGCACATATAGTTCCAGCTCACGTAAGACATATACTCTTGTGTTCTATGTAATATCTGCACACCACACATATAAGAATGGCCATATTGGGTCAGACCAAAGACCCATCTAGCCCAGTATCCTGTCTGCCAGCAGTGGTCAATTCCAGATGCCCCAATGAACAGAACAGGTATCATCAAGTGATCCATCCCTTGTTATCCATTCCCAGCCTCTGAGAAGGCTAGTGACATCATTCCTGCCCATCCTGGCTAATGGCCATTGATGGACATAGCCTCCATGAATTTATCTAGTTCTTTTTTGAACCCTGTTGAAGTCCTGGTCTTCACAACATCCTCTGGCAAGAATGTATCTTTACACCAGACAAGATTTTATAGACCTCTATCATATCCCCTCTTAGTCGTTTCTTTTGCAAGCTGAAAAGTCCCAGTGTTATTAATCTCTCCTCACGACAGCCATTCCAAACCCCTAATACTTTTTGTTGCCCTTTTCTGAACTTTTTCCAATGCCAAGATAACTTTTTTTGCCATGAGGCAACCACATCTGCACACAGTATCCAAGATGTGGGCGCACCACAGATTTATACAGAGGCAGTGTGATATTCTCTGTCTCATTTTTTATCCCTTTCTTAATGATTCCCAACATTCTGTTTGTTTTTTTGGCTGCTGCTACACATTGAGTGGATGCTTTCAGAGAACTATCCAAAATGACTCCAAGCATGTAGCAGTATTTTTTTGGTATTCAGGAGGCTTCCAAAATTTTGCTAAGCATCACATAGATAAATACAGTAGTAAAGAGGCACACTGTTCTCCACGGAGTCCAACCTTCCATCCAGCATAGTGCACAAATCTTCCTGCCATGTGAAGACATGTTTTCATGCCAGCTGTATGGTCTATGCTGCCACTGCATTGTCATGAGCTGGGTGAAACCCTTGTTATGGGTTGAGACAAATCCTCATTGAACTGGATAGGTGTGCACTCACGCTTCAGTTAACATAATTGTAAGAATGGCCCCCTACCTAAGACAAAAGGACCATGCGAAGCCACCCAGGAGCTTTTGTTTAGCAATGGTTTGGATATGTTTGTTTAGAAAGGTAGAATAGACAAATAAGAAGAAGGGATGGAGGTTTTTGGGGTGGGTGCAAGCTGAAGAGAATGTTTTTGGTGCTGTGAGCTAAAGTGTGTGCAGAGTGAAGAAAAAGTCAACCTGTGGAACTCCTTGCCAGAAGATGTGGTAAAGGCTAGAACTTTAATAGGGTTCAAAAAAGAGCTGGATAGATTCATGGAGGTTAGGTCCATCAATGGCTATTAGCCAGGATGGGTAGGAATGGTGTCCCTAGCCTCAGTTTCTCTGGAGGTGGACGACAGGGGAGGGATCATGTGACGATTACCTGTTGTGATCCCTCCCTCTGGTACATCTGGTATTGGCCACTGTCGGCAGACAGGATACTGGGCTAGATGGACCTTTGGTCTGACCCAGTGTGGCCATTCTTATGTTCTTATGTTCTTCTTATGTAAAGAAGCTCTTTCCTGCTGTTTGATTCCTTCTGCAGTCAGAGACACAGAAGTCACAATTTTTGTAAATAAACAAAACCGCATCAAAGAAACACCTGACTACTATCAATTTCTCCTCCTAACTGGAACAACCTTCTGGACCCCACATTTTTTTGGCCAGCCACTCGGATCAAAAGGAATATTTTATTTTTAGACTATTGTGTGCTGTTTGCATTTTCAGGATCCATTCTATTGCTTCCATTCCCCTGGGAGGATGAGATTCCTCAGAACATACCTGTTATGCTATTCTTATTCTGTACTTGAGCACCAGCTCTGTATTCACAAGCATTGGTGCAAAACTGGTGTGACACCTCTTCCTGCCTCCATCAGGATCAACGGAATTACGTCAGGGTTCAAACATGCCTGGATCAAACTCAGGCCTCAATAGATCATGGCCAAAAGCTGTTGTTGGTATATATCAGCTTCACATCTGCTCTAAAGACAAGGCAGGTGAAATAACATCTTGGATGGGAGAAAGGTCCTCAGTTCTGGAGAAGAACTCTCTGACGCTCAAAACCTTGTCCCTTCCACCATCAGACGTTGGCCCAATTAAAGATACTATTTCCCCTTCCTTGTCTATCTCATCTCCTGGGTCCAACACGGCTACAACACTGCAAATATATCTACTCTACACATACAGGGCAAACTCCATTTCTACTGCAGGACCAGATCTTTAGCTATCTTGCCTCTCCCCAGAGATTTGAAAGAGGCAGGCTGCAGGGCTTCCTGTTTCAAATGCAGTTAATTGTAAGCTCTTCTTAGAAACCAAGGTTGTTATAAAAGTGCATTTGACAAGGATTCAGGTCCCCGCTGGAGGCCACTGGATCAATGAGCAGCACTCCAAGAAACTGATAGGAGCGGATGAAGATAGCCCCAC